ACATGATCTATATGTTTTCAGCTTGATCTGCTTAATTCTTGATATACTATTTTGGTTTTATTCAATTTTGCTTTTCTATTTTTGTTTTTTGTTTTCAATGTATTTTCTTTGTTTTAATATGTTTATATTCGATCTATTTGTTTGGTGAAGACTCAATCAACTGGAGTTATGTGTCAGACTCAATCAACTTCTTCAGTTGTCTGGCATTTTATATAAACAATAGATATAGCACAAATATAGTGCACGTTTAACTTGGTGTTTTAGTGAACTTTTTTCTGCAATTGATGTAAAATTTTCTACGAATGTTTTCAACTTAATTGTTAAAAGACACTTGTTGTCTTGTTGGATTAAAATGTTACAAGCCCGTGAAGACAGTTGGATCATCTAAGTGGACGCAATTGGATGCAGATCAAGAGTTATTTTAGTTTATATATTGAGATAACCCAAGTGAACAGAAATATCATGTTTTGGGTTAAGTTCCAGAAATATAGGGTGACAAATTTCACCTCTGAAGTTAAAGTGTCATCTTGCAATATTCTTTTTTAAATGCTTTGAGGAAATGAAACTAGCATAATGAAGTAAAGAATCTGCTTTTGACAATGAAAGTCATTGCCTTTCGAGAATGTGTTGTTCCATTGTTTTTTCTTTTTCTCTGGGCCTAATCCATTGTGATTTTGGTTTTTATTTAAGAGGATTCTTGAAGTCAATCTTAACCTTTCTAATTTATGCCCCTTTACTTTGCTGGTAATGTGGGTTTAGTACTGTACAACGATGTGGTTTATAATGTGTATTTATCACCATGCAGATGTGGGTGTTATGAGTGGAGCAATTTTGTTCATCCAAGAGGATCTAAAAATCACAGACGTACAACAAGAGCTTCTTGTTGGAATTTTGAGCATAATCTCCCTATTGGGTAGTTTAGCAGGTGGAAAAACATCAGATGCCATTGGTAGAAAGTGGACAATTGCATTTGCATCCTTTGTCTTTCAGACTGGTGCTCTCATAATGGCTCTTGCTCCTTCTTTTGGAGTGCTGATGATTGGTAGACTCTTTGCTGGAGTGGGGATAGGGTTCGGGGTCATGATCGCACCTGTTTACATTGCTGAGATTTCTCCTGCAATAGCCAGAGGCTCTCTTACATCTTTTCCTGAGATTTTTGTAAATCTAGGTATCCTTCTTGGATACATATCAAACTATGCTTTTTCGGGACTTCCAGTGCATATAAGCTGGAGGGTCATGCTTGGTGTGGGAATCATACCTTCAGTCTTTCTTGGATTTTCTCTTTTTGTGATCCCTGAATCTCCAAGGTGGTTGGTGATGCAGAATAGGATTGAAGAAGCAAAAATAGTACTGACCAAGACAAATGAGAGTGAAAGTGATGTGGAGGAAAGATTGGCTGAAATACAATTAGCTGCAGGGATGGCTAATGCTGAAAAGTATGAAGCAAAAGCTATATGGAACGAAATTTTGAATCCTAATCCTGCAGTTCGTCGAATGCTGATTACTGGTTGTGGAATCCAATGTTTCCAACAGATTACTGGTATTGATGCAACTGTGTATTATAGTCCAACAATTTTCAAAAATGCTGGGATCAAAGGCAACACTCAACTTCTTGCTGCAACTGTTGTTGTTGGGTTTACCAAAACTGTGTTCATCTTGGTAGCCATCTTTCTCATTGATAGAGTGGGCAGAAAGCCTTTGCTTTATGTGAGCACAATAGGAATGACCACTTGTTTATTTGGTCTGAGCCTTGCTCTAGCTCTTCCAGGAAATGGAAAACTGGGAATTGGATTGGCAATATTAACTGTTTGTGGAAATGTAGCTTTCTTTTCAGTAGGAATTGGCCCAATTTGTTGGGTCTTGTCATCTGAAGTCTTCCCTCTTAAACTTCGAGCTCAAGCATCTGCCCTGGGGGCTGTTGGTAGTAGGGTTAGTAGTGGTGTGATTACCATGTCCTTCCTCTCCGTGTCTCGAGCGATAACAGTAGCAGGAACCTTTTTTATTTTTTCAGTGATTTCAGCTCTCTCTGTTGCTTTTGTCCATACATGTGTTCCAGAAACAAAAGGAAAGTCTTTAGAAGAAATTGAAATGCTTTTCCAAGATAAAGGAGAATGGCAAAGCAGTGAGGTTGAAATGGGAGATGCAGAGCGTCTAGTGCAGAAAGCATGAGTGGGAGGCATACTTGATTGCCAAACCACAAACTTCCAACAGTAGAGCCTGCAAGCCCGAAGCCATATTGGGCAGGTTGCGGGTTACACATATTTTGTCCTAGTATACTTATTTTTCACCAAATTGTTTGAGTATTATTATACTGATTTGTCTGCGAAGTGTACCGATTGCACATATTATAACAGAACCAAAAGAGGTCAAGATTCTGTCATCTTGTTCTTGGCCCCCATGTACTTGAACTTATTTAGAGCTTCCATGTTCTTCACCATGAAGGCTCGTAAGATAGAAATCAGATGCAGTTGAGTTAATTGAAACAATAAGGATTGTGTTTCTGGTTCTCTACAACAGTACGCATTTTATTAAGCAGCTCTAAATCTAGATGTGTGGTTCCTATGGTTCTTGGTGGTTTTCATTTGTTACTGAATAATCTATGGACTTTTAATTTGTTTTCATTTGCCATTTGTACCAGGGTTTAGTCAAAGGCCTTGTTGTAACCTTGTTCCACTCAATTTTTCCTATCAGAATGTAGCTGATGTGAGAGTTTTTTTTCTTGTTTCGGTTCAACTCTTCAAAGGGTACTTTGAATCCAATTATGGTTGTTAGGTAATATGGTTCAATGAAATGGATTACGTGCATGACACATCAAATCCAGCAAATACGTTACCTTATCACGTAGGTTGCTAGGCAGAGGAGATTTCAGTTCTGTGAACAAAGGAATACTTTCCAACATCCAAAGACTTCTGATTGTGAATGTGAAACATTGAGCAACATCTGCCACACAACTCTCATCAAAATCATTACAAGTGGTTCCAATTTTGATTTCAAAGCCTTGAGATATACTGGAGGGCATGCTTAGTGGGTGCCTTGAGAATTTGTTGTATTCTCCCAACTATTTTTTGGATCTACTGCAAAGACTAAACATATGCTAGATGTTGCATTAGCGTTGGAATATCTGCATCATGGTTATTCAACCTCAGTGGTTCATCATGTATCTGATTTTGGCATTTCCAAACTCTTGGCCGAAAGGACATTGATATCTTTGTGAAAGTTGATCTTTATGTCTTTCGGGATGTGCAATATATTATCTTCTATTACCTAAAAGCCTTATATCTGTGTGATGTTAGAAGCATCTCAGAGAAATTGAAATATGTGCATTGCTTTGTGTTCTTGCTGTTTGATTGAATAAGCTTGACAGTACTATTGTGTCTACCTTAATTTTAGCAGTAATCCCTGAATCAATATGTTCTTTTAGGAGGATATCAACATTTATTTGATGAGCAGAAACATAGTGAAAGTGAAAGAACATATTAAGGCCACATGTGGTGTAGACCAACACGTTCAACATAAAGACAAGGACAATCCCATAAAGGTTATATTTAGATGCTTAAACATATACAACTTCCAGTGTAAATCTTGTCCTCGAGTAGAAACTGGTCCCAAAATAATCCCTCCTTTTAGGTCAAGCATATTCAATCAAGAATTAGAATCTACGTAGACATTCACAATTACCGTCATTTTTTTTTTGTACAAAGTGATATTGGGGGAGGGGGAAATCGAACCCATGACCTAGAATGCAGAGGTAAATGTTCTTAACCACTTGAGCAACAAGCTCATTGCCGCAAAAAAGAACCGTCTTTACACAAAGAGAGAACTAATTGTACATGTAGGGCTAAGGTGGATCATAAATATGGCCCGTAACTATAACCATGTGGCCACTCTGTAAAATACAGAAAACCATCTGCAAAGAAGATGTAGTGATTCACACTCCATGATACAGAGATTGGAACCCATTAATGCTTGAGATCTGGTGTTAGCAACTTCAGCATGTTCTGAAATATATTTGAATAAAATTTTATGTTAAGATCACTTGACTTTATAGAGGAAGAAAAACAATAAGTCAATGATTTGTTTAAGTCCATCTTTCACTCAATTAATTAATTTATTTCTTCTTCTTGTTTTTTTATTATTATTATATCTTAAAACACATGGCAGATAAGCATGATAAGCGGCATGTCTTCTGCCTTGTTGCTCTGGACAATTAGCAAGAAGTATGTGTCTCACCTAAACATGCTTACTCGAATTCAGATAGACCACCACAATTTGCTAGTGCTTAACCTCCTCAACCTTCTACTTTGATGATCTTGAACCCATCAAACAAAAGCATCGACAAGAAAAGTCTTTACTTTCAAAATTGAAACTCTCAGAGGCCATAATAAATTATGGATTGAGGGTTACAATTTTGGCATCTAATCTTTGGACTAATGAGAGAATATAAAAGGGAAGCATATAGCGACGTGCATCATCAGGCCAGGAAGTAGGTGCCGACATTGATTGGAAGCTTATATATCGCTTTCACAATAATGTAATCAGAATGGAGATTCAAAGGTTATATATTATAATAAGCTTTTTGTTCCCCATAATTTGCTTAAAACAAATTACACAATCCAAAACTATTCGTATAGCTTTGACATTTTAAGTTCATGAAAGATTCCCT